CGTCCCTCATGGCACACTGGCAGGAATATATCTCTTAGGGTTTGATATCAGTGATTGTTCCGACGTGTGCCACCACCACCCACACCAAGTTACTGTGAATCTGTTGGTAACTCGAGGGTGTGGGTCGTCGTCAAGTTTGTTTCTTTTCAGCTAAACTCTGCAACTCTATCCCTTCACGCCTGATAACTTGTACCTCTTTAAGTAGCAAGTGTTACATCATCTAAAATACTCCTAGACCCTTTCATTTTTTTTTTTAGTTTTCCGTACAAGGTCTGGCCTCGGTGAAGTCATATCCGTGACTGAAGCTTTCTTCGTAAAAAAGAAATAATAGTAATAATAATAAAAAAAATAAATAAATCCTGCAGACACGATTGTATACGATTCCATTTGACGTCATCAGAAATTTTCACTTCTACCATCAAAAAAGAACTCAGATTACTTATATAATATTTTCGCTCGAGTTGTTCTACGTCTCTACACGAGGTTTAGTAACAGTGTGATGGATCAGAGCCTAAGGGAAGGTTTGGGAGGTTAGAGAAGAACCCGGACGCTAGCCTTCGTTGGGGAGTTTTTATTGGTCACTAAGTTTATTACATTTCTCTTTGCTCGTAAAGTTGTTGTTTTTTTCTCTCTCTCTCTTGCAAGATACAGGAATTTAATTGATTACCTTGTCAAGATGGTATTGAATATTTGTTTAAACTGGCCATTAGATATAGTTTTGTATGATTTATTATTGGTGCAAATTAACCTACATTATCCAGTTTATTATTAGTAGGTGGGGTAGGTGCATAGTGTGGCCGAGGGAGGTGTTGTGTTGTGTTGTGTGCACTCCCATGTTTACTGAGTGTAGGTGCCTGTGTGGGTGCATACTGTGTACGTGTGTGTGTGTGTGTGTGGCAGGGTGTAGCGGCCAAGGTGATCAGCACTGTGGGTGTGTTGGTCCACTGCGGGGGGAGGCCAGAGGTTAAGGGGCCAACCAGGAAATGCTCACTCATCTCTCTCTCTCTGAGAGACTCTTTCACTCCACCTGAGACTTACGCCTACCTAAGGCTCTTTCGCCACACTTGAGACGCTTGACCCCACTTGAGACTCTTATCCCTTGAGACTCTTATCCCCTTTTGAGACTCTTAACCCTACCTAAGGCTCTCACCGCACTTTAGACTCTTACTAAACCTAAGACTCTTATCACACTTGGGACTCTTACCTCTATACATAAGGCTCTCACCACACCTGAGACTCTTACCCCAACCTAAGGCACTCATCATACCTGAGACTCTTACCCCAACCGAAGGCTCTCACCACACTATAGACTCTTACCCCCAACAAAGGCTCTCACCACACCTGAGATTCTTACCCTCAACCCAAGGCTCTCACCACACCTGAAGGCTTCCTACCCCCACCGTAGCGGCTCTCACCCCAACCCAAGGCCTCTGCAACAACACCTGAGATTCCACCAAACCCAAGGCTCTCACCCCACACCGAAGGCTCTACCCCCCACCGAAGGCTCACCCCACCGAAGTGGCTCCTCTCACCCCAACCCAAGCGCTCTCACCACACCTGAGATTCTTACCCCAACCTACTCACCACACCGAAGGTTCTACCTCTACCCAGCTCTCAATTTCCAAACTCCAAGGTTTCCCACCACACCCTCGAAGGCTCTTTAGCCCCCACCACATGCTCTCACCCCAACCGTTGCCTCTCATCCCACCCGAAGGCCTTACCTCACCGAAGGCCTACCCCCACTGGGGTTGCCTACCCCACCACCGAGTTGGCTTCCCTCACCCAACTCCAAGGCTCTCACCACACCTCCGAGACTTTACCCCAAACCCATGCCTCACCCACCTGAGATTCTACTCCCAACCCAAGGCTCACCCCACCAAGGCTCCCTCACCACACATACCACAGATGTTCTGCACTTAACGTGAGGTGTTGGAAATAGCGTATGCGAACTAAAATGTGAAATAACATTGATTAAATGGGCTTGAGTAAATATTGGAAATACGTGTAGTTCATCCTTGAAGGTCTAGCAGGTGTTGTGGTGAGGAGACAACGTGAGTGGTGTGCTGAGGTAGGCAAGTTAATCAGTGTGTTAGCGACTTGGTTAGCACAACTTAGGGCGGCATCTTGTGTAGGTTATGACTGTCTTTGTGAGTGGTGGAGGCCATTTATCATAGTATCTGTCTTCTGTATGGGTACACCCTCCTTTCTGTATAAATACACACCTCTTCTGTGGTAACACAACTCTCCTTTCGTATAACACACTTTCCTCTTTCTGTATAACACACCTCTCCTTTTCTGTATACACACTCTCCTCTTTCTCTGTATAACACACACTTTCCTCTTTCTATAACACATTAATTTCTGTATAAATAACATTACTCTCTCCTCTTTTCTGTATAACATAATAATTTCCTCTTTTCGTATAAATACACTCTCCTCTTTCTGTATAACACACAATCCTCTTTCTGTATAACACACCTTTCCTCTTTCTTGTATAAATACACACTCTCTTTCTGTATAACACACTCCTCTTTCTGTATAACACACACTCCTCTTCTATAACACACACTCTCTTTCTGTATAACACACACTCCTCTTTCTATAAATAATACCTCTTTCTGTATAACACACACTCCTCTTTTCTGTATAACACAATACCTCTTTCTGTATAACACACACTTCTTTCTGTATGCAACACACACTCCTCTTCTGTATAACACACCTCTTTCTGTATAACACACACTCCTCTCTGTATATAACACACACCTCTTCTGTTTAACACACACCTCTTTCTGTATAACACACACCTCTTTTCTGTATAACACACTCTCCCTCTAGAAAACACACACTCCTCTTCTGTAGCAATACACTCTCCTCTTTCTGTATAACACACACTCCTCTTTCTGTATAACACACTCTCCTCTTTCTGTATAACACACTCTCCTCTTTCTGTATAACACACACTCCTCTTTCTGTATAACACACTCTCCTCTTTCTGTATAACACACACTCCTCTTTCTGTATAACACACTCTCCTCTTTCTGTATAACACACTCTCCTCTTTCTGTATAACACACTCCTCTCCCTTGATGCTGGACCCTTTCAGATCACTTATTGTGTATTACTTCTTCACCTCTTTGGGGGTTCCTGTATAATATCCGGTACAGTAAGCTTTTCTAAACATACACTGGTCATAAGCTTGTTTTATATTGCTTTAAAGGCCTGGGAATGAATGGGAGGAATCTATAATTTGGGGACTACTCTTTAGAATCAATTTTTCGTTGTGGATTAATTGCCTCGCGTTGGACTCTCTATGTTGATTAATTGCGTCATGATGGACTCTCTCTCTCTCTCTCTCTAGAATCAATTTTTCGTTGTGGATTAATTGCCTCACGATGGACTTCCTTACAATAAATTTTTCGTTGTGGATTAATTGCCTCACGATGGACTTCCTTACAATCAATTTTTCGTTGTGGATTAATTGCCTCACGATGGACTCTCCTTACAATCTAATTTTCGTTGTCGATTAATTGCCTCACGATGTTATTTTTGTTGGTTTTGTGATGCAAGTGGTATTTAACTTTTAAAATATTCATGAGATAAACTCGCAGGATTGTTGTAGACCTTGGTGGCTTCCGGGGAGTGAACGAGGAACGACTAGGGTGTTGAGTGGCGGTCATGAAGTCGCCGGGGTGGTTATAGAGGTGGACGGGGAGATTATACAGGTGGATGGGTAGGTTATACAGGTTGACGGGGGAGCTTATTTATAGAGGTGGATGGGAAGCTTATTTATAGAGGTAGACAGGCAGCTTATAGAGAGGTGGATGGGTAGCTTATTTATGGAGGTAGACAGGCAGCTTATAGAGGTGGACGGGGAGTTTTAAAGAACTGGACGGGGAGCTTTAAAGAACTGGACGGGGAGCTTTATAGAGGTAGACAGGCAGCTTATAGAGAGGTGGACGGGTAGCTTATTTATGGAGGTAGACAAGCAGCTTATAGATGTAGACAGGCAGCTTATAGAGGTAGACCGACAGCTTATAGAAGTGGACAGAGAGTTTCTTGTACACCACACGAGCCTTGGTAGTCCCTGGACCCTTGGCCGTGTTTTTCCCATACTGAAAAAATTTTGTATTGAACTGTACTTGTGTAAGAGTATTTATATTTTTTCCCTCAAGTGATTGTTTGGAATATCGGGTTAGGTTAGGTTAAGGTTAGGTTTGGTTAAGGTTAGGTTAGGTTTGGTTAGGTTAGTTTAGGTTAGGTTAGTTTAGGTTAGGTTAGGTTTGGTTTGGTTTGGTTTGGTTTGGTTTGGTTTGGTTTGGTTTGGTTTGGTTTGGTTTGGTTTGGTTTGGTTTGGTTTAGTTTGGTTTGGTTAGGTTAGTTTAGGTTGGGTTTGGTTAGGTTAGGTGTGAGGGTGAACCTTAACCCAAGTGTAGAGGATTAGGTTGCTCCCTTATATAAAGATCAATATAATTAGTAATTGGGGTTGAAGGCGTGAACCATTACTGCCTGTATAAACCACATCTTCAAACAGGTACATGACTCTCCGTCTGTCTGTCTGTCTGTCTGTCTGTGATTAGGAAATGTTTTGTGGTGGAGACTGTGGTGGTTGTGGTTAAGTGTATGGGTAAGTCATGTGTACTGGGGGGTAGGAAACTGGTTTGGATATGGTGGTTGTACAGGCAGGTGGAGGCACAGCCATTTCCTTACTTCGAGAGATGAAAAGTATTGAAGGGAAAGAGAGTGTATATATAATATTGGAGGTTTCGTCCTTGGTGTGGCAAGATAGGGCGTTGGGGACATGAGCTTTGGGTGTTCATTCATCACTAGTGTTAACGTTGGTCTTGACGGTCGACGGGTTCCAGCCTTCCAGACGGCCCATCCATCCTTCTTAATTACCAGGAACCACACGTGTACCTGGTCCTGATATCCAGCTTCCAAGGTCTCTCCCATGGCCCTGGTACCCAGTTTACAAGGACTCCCATGATCCTGGTACCCAGCTTACAAGACCTCTCCCATGGCCATTGTACCCAGCTTACAAGACCTCTCCCATGGCCATGGTACCCAGCTTACAAGATCTCTCCCATGGCCATGGTACCCAGCTTACAAGACCTCTCCCATGGCCATGGTACCCAGCTTACAAGGCTTCCCCATGTCCTGGTACCCGTCAACGCTGCTGATGGATGCTCGCTCAACTTAAGATCAAAAAAGCTCACGATTTACATGACATAAACTCGCGTAATTTACTCTCCGTGTAAAATTGAGTTTTCTCGGTTGGAAAGGCGAGGAATATTTGTGAGTTTTTTCTGCTGTTTGTATAAAAATTATCTTAGTGTTTAATGCATTGTTGATTAGGTGAGACTGTTATTGACGTTCTTCAGGTCTTTGAAGATCGATGGTAATAGTATAAAGTTCATCTGTGGGTTATCGTGGATGATGACAAATTACCTTGCTAAAAGCTTGAGTTTTTTTCTTTTTTGGGTAATTGGGGTGTGTGTGTGTGTGTGCGCGCGCGCGCGCCACACTGAAGGAGCATTATAACGATCCAGGTCATCTGTGAATCCTTTATCAGTTCACTTTATTCTCACTCTTGATTTATCCTAAGTGAACATCATTTATCCGGGAAACCACTTGGTTTTTTTTTGGGGGAGGGGGGGCGTCCACTTGATTTTCTAGGTGTGCTTGTTAGGGGTGGAATTAGTTCAAGGTCGCCATAATATACATATTTTTGTGATTTAGTTTGTTTGGAATCTTACGTCAAAAGTTAAGGTTACAGAAAGAGTTAATGAGATAAATGTATGTTTTTGTTGTTGTTGTTGATATGGTTGTTTTTGTTGTTGTGGTGGTGGTGGTTGTTGTTATTATTATTGTTATTGTGGTTTTTGTTGTGGTGGTTGTTGTTGTTTTTCCTGTTGCTGCCATAACTGTTGAGCCAGTGAAGTTAATTAATGAAGATTCATATACGTTTGTATCATCATCACCAGACGTTGTGTGAAGAACAAGAAGCAGGTCCGTCAGTCAGTGATCAAATCAAGGTCACAAATAAAGGTCCAAGGTCCAGTGCCGCTTTTTATACGGTGGGGGTGTATCATGACCCGTGTTGACCGTGTGACCGTCCATATGTCTGTCTGTGTTTCTGTCTGTCTGTCTATCTGTATCTGTCTGTCTGTCTGTCTGTTAACCTGTATTGTCCATATGATTCATCTTAATGATATACAAATCCCTAAGACCACATGTTATCTATATCCCAATGGTCTAGACTGGAGCTAGACATATGCCTCTAGTCTAGGAGATGCTGGTGTTTAAACATTGTTCGTCCTTGAGCAAATATACGCTAAAACCTATAATGTAATATTTCACTTAACTTTTGAATGGGTGTGTTAATTAATGTTTTAGTTGCTTTATATTTATTGTATTTTATTCTTTGGGTTGTCATTTTATTCTCGACGTGTGAGTGATTCAATAGCAGTAAAGAAAGAATGAGTGTGTTGTTAAGGAAATGTCACCACACAATACCCTGCATTTAGTGATCCGTAAAAGACCTTCGTATCAGTTTGGACGCGAGTTAGTCATTGTGATGAATAGTTAATACAGGCAGGTCTGGCGCAGCAGTAAACTGGTGGAGTAGTAACGCGGGTGACTCATAACGTTGGCTTACCGTGTGTGTTGTCTACCGTGTGTGTTGTCATTTATATCTGAGGAGTGGAGGTGAGGTGATGGATGGGGGGGGGACTTTCTTGTGGTGTTTTACGATTATGGTTATGTCACACACACAGACTTGCGCACAATTCAGTCGTCAGTTGTACGTAGATTTATATATATATATATTTTTTTTTTAGTTACAGCTGTATCGACGTGTTGACTTAGTACACATACATTAATGAACACAATAGGTTAATTTGCAAGGTAATTTCTCCCTGATGAAAATGAAGGTAATACTCAGTTTATCACTCAGGTGGTATAGTGTTGGCCAGAAGGTGCACCGCTCCCTCTGTCGCCCTGTTGCCACCTTACGGTAGCTTCAGTAAGGTAGGCATCTTTCTTCATATGTTGTTGCACCAGCCTGTGCAATACCCACTTGTACTTCTGCTTCGCTCTGACCTTGAATTCTTCCCTGAATAGAATATTGTAAGTTTAACGCCCCTCGATCACGCTAAACATGTAATTTATACTTAGTCGTGTTATTGTTTATTAGTCTCTTTTCTTGTGGAGGTACTGTTAATAATGACTAAAAATACACCAACATAATTCTTTATTACGTTGTGCGCTAGGATACTAATTAGAAGGTGTTTGTGGTGGGTAAGAGCGGTGATGACGCAGGAACATGTTGTAGGGGGGTCGTAGCTCCTTGACGCCTGGTGCTGTAACTCCCTGGGTGGTGACCCCGGGGTCCCTAAAGGTCGGGATCACAGGTCACTTGTTGCCATGGGTCATGGATCCCTTATGCACCACTCATTTTCCTTCACCTCTGCTCGTGTTCTCCCCCTCCTCCTCGTGTCCCCACCCCCCCTCCTCGTGTCCCCCCCCCCTCCTCGTGTCTCTTCCTCCTCCTCGTGTCCTCCCCTCCTCCTCGTGTCTCCTCCTCCTCCTCGTGTCCTCCCCCCCTCCTCGTGTCCCCCCCCTCCTCCTCGTGTCCCCCCTCCTCCTCGTGTCCCCCCCCTCCTCCTCGTGTCTTCCCCTCTTCCCTTTTTTGTCCCCTCTCTTCGTGTCTCCTCCTCCTCTCATGTCCTCCCCTCTCCTCGTGTCCCCCCCCCTCCTCCTCATGTCCCCCCCCCTCCTCCTCGTGTCCCCCCTCCTCCTCATGTCCCCCCTCCTCCCCTCATTTCCCCCCCCTCCTCCTTTTGTCCCCCCTCTCTTCATGTCTCCCTCCTCCTCCTCCCCTCCTCCTCCTCCTCCTCCCCTCCTCCTCCTCTCCCTCCTCCCTCCTCGTGTCCCCCCTCCTCCTCATTTCCCCCCCTCCTCCTTTTGTCCCCCTCTCTTCGTGTCTCCTCCTCCTCCTCCTCCCTCCTCCTCCTCATGTCCTCCCTTCTCCCTCCACCCCCCATCTGTCTTATGTTTTGTTTCATTTCCTTTCATATGATGCAGATAATCTTTCTTAGACTACCTCTAACCTGTATGTTATTCCCACTCCTTATTCACCTTGAGGGATCTCCACTTTTTATAATATATTCATAGACTTTCCTTCTTCTTTGTACCGAGATGTGCCCTTGGCCAGGTCCGTCTCCTGCACAACGTTGTATTAGTATTTATGTAAGGCAGACTGTATAGCCGGGGTGGACTAACAAGCGAGCAGCGACACAGTGACTCAGCCCACGCATTGCCCAAACTTCAAGCTTGACATTCACCTTGCACGACAACTAAAGCTTATATAGGTGTTTGGTGACGCATGTATGGAGGGCCCGCTACTGACACACCTCCTACTTCATGAACTCGCTCTACACACACACACACACACACACACACACACACACACACACACACACACACACACACTCACTCATAAACCCCACACACAGATAATAATAATCTTGTAGTGTGGACAAAACCATTGAGGTGACCATTTTGACGGCGTGAGACCAGGGATGGCTGATATATCTTGACAGTAATTATCTAGTTATTTCTGGACACACACACACACACACACACACACACACACACACATACACAGTGGGGACAACTTTTTCTCACACCTGTAATGGACTTGTTGATCTTTACTCGCCGGGGTCAAGTGATATGTAATCCCTGCCGTGGTGAAAACTGTCGGCTGTAACTCTTGTTGGCTCTAGTTGTGTCGGCTGTAACTCTTGTTGGCTCTAGTTGTGTCGGCTGAAACTCTTGTTGGCTTTAGTTGTGTCGGCTGTAACTCTTGTTGGCTCTAGTTGTGTCGGCTGTAACTCTTGTTGGCTCTAAAGTTGTGTCGACTGTAACTCTTATTGGCTTTCCTAAGTTGTGTCGCTCGCAACTTCTTGTTGGCTCTAGTTGACCTTATGCTAACTCTTATTAGCTCTAGTTGTATCCAGCTCGCTCTGGCTCTTGTTAACTGGATGTGTCTGGTTTCTGCCCGCCATTGGCTCTTATCACATCGCTCTAACATGAATAATTTTAAAGGGCTTAGTTCTGTCCAGTTTATTATCACTGAGTTTGGCTTTTATCTTGTTTCTGGTTTTTTAGCCTCGTTGGTTAAGTTTGGCGTGAACAGTTTTTGAATTCAAAATGGGATGTAGCTTTGTTCATTATTTAGTTATGTGGGATACTGAATATGTTGTTAGTTATGTGAGATGCGGGTATGTTGTTATTTATGTGGGGTGCGGGTATGTTGGTGTTATTTATGTGGGGTGCGGGTATGTTGGTGTTATTTATGTGGGGTGCGGGTATGTTGGTGTTATTTATGCGTGGTGCGGGTATGTTGGTGTTATTTATGCGTGGTGCGGGTATGTTGGTGTTATTTATGTGGGGTGCGGGTATGTTGGTGTTAGTTATGTGGGATGCGGGTATGTTGTTATTTATGTATAGGTGCGGGTATGTTGTTGTTATGTGAGATGCGGGTATGTTGTTATTTATGTGGGGTGCGGGTATGTTGGTGTTATTTATGTGGGGTGCGGGTATGTTGGTGTTATTTATGCGTGGTGCGGGTATGTTGGTGTTATTTATGCGTGGTGCGGGTATGTTGGTGTTAGTTATGTGGGCTAGCTATGTTGGCATTAGCTATCTCGTCGGCAGTAGGTGTGTGTATGGTGTGGTTTGGTTTGGTGTGGTGTAGAGGTGTTGTGTCGTTAACAAGATCCTCCCTCCCCTCCACCAGATAACTAATCAATTCTACACCTCAATGGAGTTTTTCCCTGTCTGGTTTTATGAGTTCTACTGACCAATTAGTGTGGATGGTCATCCTTGTCTGCTGCAGTAACTAAGGAACGTGTCTAGGGACCTCTTAGTTTCGTCTACTCCCCATCACCCAACCTCTGTTTAAGCCCCAGTAGTTCAGACTGACTCACCCTACAGTTCCCAACAGGCTCGGAGTAACTGTATGGTATAGTGACTTGTAAATAGCGTCTGTATGTTGATCTATGTAGTTTTGAGGGGACGGAGAAGTTGTAGGGAGTAGATTGAAAATAAACATATGTATTTTATGTATTTGTTTGTATGATTCATATGTAGAATAATTTGAAATGTGTGTGTGTGTGTGTGTGTGTGTGTGTAAGA